ATATATATATATATATATATATATATATATATATATATATATATATAGGCTTGAGAGAGAAAAATCCTTCCCTTTCCTCTCTAACAAGTTTCTTTGGGGCTGACTGCTTATCTGCCTTCTGCCTCTGGTGTCCTACTTGGGTGTGGACAAGTGGGTGGCATTCTGGAGCAACTCCCTTCCATTGAAGAGGGCACAGTTTTCTAGAGGGGGATGACGTCTTTGGGGAGGAAGAGAAAGAAGGATGTTGGCCAGGAATGAATTTGCTGCCAGAGCCTGGACTCCTGGCATCAACCAGGCTCTGCTGAGGTCATCTAGGTCATCCTCCTGGCTTCAGCCCGATCTCAGCCATTTCCACTGGCTTCAGGTTTTCAGCAGGATGAGTTCAGGACTTGAATGAGCATGGCTGCTAGACAGCAATTAGGGCTGGGGGGTCATGGAAACAGAAAGACACCAATTAAGAAGCGGCATGCTAAGCGCCTGTGCGAGGCATCTTGCGAAGATGTTGGAAGAGACAACCCGAGCCCTCGCTCCTGATCACCTCCCCAAGTTGTTGGAGCTGGTTTGGACACAGTCTTAGCAGGAGGCAGAGAGGGGATCTGGTTCTCCCTCAAGGACTTTTCCACCTAGGACCCTGAGTTCTTGGGTGGTGGCGGCTCAAAAAGAAGAGCCAGCAGGGCGAGGTGTTTATTTACATTGCCATGACAGCAGATGAGAGGGGACCTATTTTGGAGCAGGAACACTGCTTTGATCAGCATACAGCATACATCTGTTTCTCTGTGCCGCACCCCCTCCCAAGCCTCCCCTGTCACCATTCCAGGGCTTCTTGCTGAGCACAGTTCCTGCTTTGCAATAGAGACTTCTGGGGGCACAAGATCTCTGGGCCGCCCATACTGGGGGAAGGACAAACTTCTCCATTTCAGAGACACCAGCTGCAAAGGCTAAAAAGAAACCCTCAGGCCCTGAAATAGTGACCCCCCCCACCCCGAGACAAAAGCACTCTCAGCAACTGCCAAGTTGCCTCATTAGAATGTCTGTGCCAGGATGAGTTGCCAGTGCTGAATCCCGGGAGGGTGGGCACCAGGTGGTCGGGTGATCTGTGGTTTCTAGAGGAAAGAGGAGTGTCTTTTAGAGGGCAGGGTCAGGCAGAAGAGATTGCCACCTGCAGAACTGAGTTGGGACTGATTTTTGTGCTACTTCTTTAGGTTAAAGTTTGAAAATGTCTATTTAAGGGCAAGTGTGAACACATTGTCTCAGGCTGATCCAAAGACAATCTGGCACAAATTAAGAGTTTATGTGGATATGGCAGTGGAAGCAGCGAGGCACTGACAATCAAAGGACCTGGATCGTATACCAAATTTCATAACCAATTCACTGCGTGGACCCAGGCATGAAACTTGTCTCTCTGGACCAGTGTCCACATCTGTAAAATGGAGCTTATTGCATGGGGGTCTTGCATGGATCGCAAGAGGTAGAGCATTAAAACATCAAAGCACGGGCTTCCCTGGTGGCGCAGTGGTTGAGAGTCCGCCCTCCGATGCAGGGGACACGGGCTCGTGCCCCGGTCCGGGAGGATCCCACATGCAGAGGAGCGGCTGGGTCTGTGAGCCATGGCCGCTGAGTCTGCGGGTCCGGAGCCTGTGCTCCGCAACGGGAGGGGCCACAACAGTGAGAGGCCCGCGTACGGCAAAAAAAACCACAATAAAACCCCATCAAAGTGCTGAGCAAATGTGATTATTTTTGAGATACAGCTCAAGGAGGGAGATAACTCTTGGTTTGTTCAGTTATTGATTTTTTGGACTAGCTAATGACTTCACCTGTTTTAAAATTCAGGAGGTATGAAAATAAAAATCTCCCCACTTCTGTCTCTCCACCACCCAGCAATCCCCTTGGATGTGACCAATGTTACCAGCTTCTTGGGCCCTTGATGAATTTTGAAGCTCTAGAGGAAGTGAACTGTACTAGCCAAGACTTCAGTGGAGGCTGTAGATAGATGCCTGATTTGGGTTGGGAGTAGGATTGAGGGGAGTGTGCAAAAAGGGCAATGGGGCTTCCCTGGTGGCGCAGTGGTTGAGAGTCCGCCTGCCGATGCAGGGGACGCAGGTTCGTGCCCCGGTCCTGGGGGGATCCCACGTGCCGTGGAGCGGCTGGGCCTGTGAGCCATGGCCGCTGAGCCTGCACGTCCAGAGCCTGTGCTCCGCAACGGGAGAGTCCACAACAGTGAGAGGCCCGCGTACCGCGGAAAAAAAAAAGGGGGGGGGGGCAATGGAGAAGGAATTGCGGGGCAGGAAATGTGGAGCAGTGGTGGAATAAGCATTTGTTTGGGAATCAAGAGACCTGGGATCCAGTCTTGACTGTATGACTCATGGCTGAATGATCTTAAGAACCTTCCCCTTTCTAACTCTCAGTGTTCTATCTGTACATTGAGCCTGTTGTGTTCTCATATGCCAGTCTTACAAGTTCCACCAGAGTAGAGCAGAAGTGGTGGAGGGGAAGACTGACCAGGGACATTTTAGACAAGGAGAAGCCAATACACTGACTCAAAGCTGATAATTGAGTATGCTTTTCATATGTAATCTTCTTCCTATTAAGATTAGTCAATCAAAGGGTTCTCTGCCACACTACTGCTTTTGTCCTAGTGGTTTCATTGACAGAGCAAACCTTTGGCACCATCTGCACAGGAGAACATTAGGAATGTCCACTGGCTTCAACATATGTAATGCTGCCCAGGCCCAGGAGGGTAGCCTGAATAAACTTTGGTCGTCCTGCTATCATGGCCCAAGAATCCACTAGCACAATGTTTCCCAAATTTCACTTATTGGTGAACCAGCTTCACAATTTTTGCCATTATTTCGTCCTGTGCCATTATGTACTTATTATGTTTCTTTAACTCAACCCGATTTTAAACAATAACCTCACTTTAAGCCGTAAATATCTATGAAATGAGGGGTTGAGGTACTAGTTACAGCTTTCCTAATGCATATTGAATTCAAAATATATCTATCACAATTCAAAACATCAGTGTATCACTCCAAACCATCCCATGCATATATACCCAGCATTGGAAACCACAGAGGTAGCGGTAACACAAACCGGCAGGTCAAGAAGGCCTTTAGACCTTTGGAGCTCACTCCAAGACTCACTAGGTGCTCCCGGGCTCCCTGCATCACTCCATACTCCTTATGCTGTGTTACTTAGGGATGAATTGCTCCTGAGATGGAAATAGGTTCTGGAACCTAAAAGGAGCCCCTTCCCTCCAAACAAAATCCACAATTCTGAACTGCCTCACAGGTATTGAAGTGAGAACACTTGAGTAGAGCACCAGAAGTTCTAGGTTCCAGTTTTGGCTCTGCCCCTGACCAGCTGTGTGACTTTGGGCCTGCCCCTTCCCCTCTCTGGGCCTTCCTGTTCCCAACTATAGTATGAAGAGTCTGGTCTAAATGACCTCTAAGGTATCTTGCTGCTCTGAAATTCAACGACTTCTTGACTTGCAGACCCTACACTTGTGTTTAACTCATTAGCTCCCCTTCCCAGCAGTCCACAGAGGTGAGAAGGCTGCTGACCTTCCCTCCCATTGCCCTTGCACCAAATCCTCCCTGAGGCCCCTTGCTCCCAGTGCACAAGGCTCCTTTTGTTGCCTGGAGCCATTCAGGGCTCCTCTTCAAGCTCTCTTGTTGAAGTGGCTGAGGCGACCTGTGGGGTAATAGTTGGCCTGTAACAAGAGCCCTGGCTCCCCAACCCAACTGGCTCCAGCCTGGCTGCAGGCTTGGACTCAGCACCAGACTTTGTCCATCAGTTGCCCAGACCCCTCCCTCCAGTTCTGAGAGGGCAGAGAGACTAATTTAAAAGGGAAAAAATAGAAACTAATACATTTATTACATGCATTTATTTAAGTTGCTCTTAGACGTCACTTCTAAGGCTCAAGAGGAGAATAGACCAAAACACTGAGTCTATGAAAATCATCAGAATAATAATAATTCAATTAACTTCCTCTCTTTTGAAAACGACCAAATCATTACTGTAACTAATTCTTGACAGATCTGGCCATTTAACATTTGCCATTTTATGAAGAACATTTGCAGGGCATAGCTTATCTAGCATTTGACAGATATTTTACCCAGCAACTTGGAATAGTATAAAAACCGACTTAGGGGGTATCTGGAATTGATTATCATTTGAGACAGGAAATCTTTCAACCATGGTCTGCAGTGAATTCAGCCAAGGTAAAAAACACTGGACTGTGAGTTGAAAATTCTAAGATCTAATCCCAAGTCTGACATTAACTCCTTCTGTGACCTTGAGTTAGTTGCCTCCTCTGCCTGGACCTCAGTTTCCTTGTATGAAAAATGAGAAGGTTGAACTAGACGGTCCCAAGGTCCTTTGCACTCTACTCTGTGTCGTCCTCCACCCCCTGTCCCTGCCAGAGTCAGGCTGAAAGGAGGGAGAGGCAGGGATAAG